TTTTCCCTTCCTTTTTTTCTGTTTTTTTTTTCCCCACAAAGCTACTTCTGAAATAGTCTTTTGTTGGCATAAATGCTGTTCCAACTTTTATCCTTGATAAAAACTACAATAACTAAGAAACAAACCTTACAAAGTAGCTCATGAGTAAATGGAATTTAATGGGGTCAATTATCCCCACATGCTTGTGCGCAGGTTTCATTAATATTAATAAGTCATAGACATGCTATTGAGCTGAAGAATAGGCTGTCACTGGCCTCTACATGCTGTTTTTTGTGTGATGATTTAGGATTATTCAAGAGAACACATTCATTTCCAAATGTCAGTGGCAGAAAAACCCACATTTGCCCATTATACCTGCAAGATACAGAAAGACTTAAAAAATAGGTTAAACGACTGCAACAGCGCAGATTCCGTTTGTGCTTTTTCCATAATGCAGAATCACTTTACATGCATGTCTCGCCATAAATATTTAATGAAGTGGAAATGAATATGTAGCAGGCTGGGTTCTTCCCTCTAAGGGTTAAATTCCATTTCTGCAAATTGGTTTGTGCCCTATTTCTGTTCCTGTGTCTCTGTGCATCTAGACATTTTCTTGGCATCTCTAACTCTTCTGAGGTTTCAGGAGATCTTTGGAGATTTGCTAGTAATTGACCTGTTTGGATTGCCCTGACTGGCATTTGCTAAAAGATAATACAGTCCTGCATTTTGTTGTTAAGTGCTGGTTGTGTTATTAACTTGTGGCCAAACCAGAAGAAAGGCTCAGGAGACATCATTTTCCCTCAGACAACTTCATTTGGTTCTTACGGTAATCTCCATTAAAATGAAGCACTTTGGTCTCAGCTGAGGGGCGTCACATATTCCTTAACTTGTCAGCTGTGTTTGGCCAGTAATGAATACACCCACTTTGCTTTGGTTTTTTTAATATATTTCTGTACACTAAGGGTAAACAATCAACATCACATCAAAGTCAGATGATTTAACCTTCTGCCACTTCTCTAACCACTGAAGAGTTCCTGCCAGGGCTAGCTGGGTATTGGAACATATGTAAATGTTTTCTGAGAAAACAGAATTACCAAGTGGAGGAAACCTGATGTTTTGTCCTTAGAAAACAGGAATAATTAATAATATTACATCTACCATATCCCAAAGGAGTCTGAATGAACTCTATTTGTTTTATTTTTATCATGTAACAGGAACAAGTCTTGCTCTCAGTTACAATAACATAGTTCTGGAAGAACCTCCTTCAAGTTCTGCCATAATTTAAACTGGTACTGTCTCAGTGTAATACATCTGCTTCCAGCAAAGTTCCTCATCTCTAGCACCATCTTTAACAGCCAAGAAGAAAATGAAAAATAGAGTCTGGAAACAATGAATTAATACTAGCCAGATAAGCATAGGGAATCTACTTTGTGTAACGCAAGAATTAAGTACTGCTGATCTTTGCAAGTAGCAATGACAACTCAAATACAATACCTTAGGGCCTGCAATAACCTGGAGGCTAATTAACTGCAGAAAAGGCTTTTTATATTACACTTTGTATTAAATAAATTCAGCACAAATCCGTAGAGACCAATAATCATTTTTAGGCAGTCTAGCTGAATTTTACCCCAAAAGTGATCAAGCTACATAGAATTCTGGCTTGTGAAGTGTCTGATTAATGTATTTTCCTCCAGTAATTCAGGTGCTTAAGATGAAAATAAGAGCAATTAAAAAAAGATGGAGATAGAGGAAGTCTTCTGTCAGTATGATTTTCATTATTTTTTTATCTCTTTAAACATAGTACTAAATAGAAATATATAGAAAATTTACTTCAGGGGTAAAATTATTCTGGTTTTAAAATGATGTGTCATCATTTTAAAACCAGAAGCTGATGTGATCAAGTGAGTAAAAAAGGAAGAGAGGAGGCACAGCTTAATTTCAAGGCTCATCCAAGTTCCCCACTCTCTCACTGTCGTCTCCCAGTTACCCCCAGAGAAAGATTCCAGCAGGATACAAGCACAGTGCTGCAAGGCCAAGGGCTGGGCACAGCAGGGATATCAGCAGGGATCCTCTGGGGGAAAATAAAGTCCTGCTTCTTTTCATAAAACTTCTGATCACAAGTAACAAGTGGGGTGCCTCCAAATTTGTGTGCAGTAAATATGGCATCAACTAAGCCACCTAAAAATACACACTAGGAGTAAATTATTTCTGTTTAGGTCTCAAGGAAATATCCCTCTTCTCTTTGTAGATGTCTTTGTCTTGTTCTCATCCTCTCCACACACACTCAAGAAAACTAGAAGCAGAAACAAGGCAGAAACCACATCTAATTTCCATACTTGGCTTACAAATAAGACATTGCTCATTTTTTATTTCCAAGCCAGCAGGTATGTGAATCAGAACTGGTGAGCTAAGTTTTAAGTTATTGTAGAACTAGGCATTCTTTTTGAACATTTCTCATACAGTTATAATACACTGAACATAGCAAGAAGTGGAAGCAAGTATAATCTGGCTTGAATCTATTCAGAACCTTCAGGTTAAAGAACTTTTCCAGTACTTTTAATTCCTTAAAAGAAAATCTGTCTCCTTCCAGGTGTCAGAAGGAGGTGTCAGGTACGTTCACTAGTATCTGATGCTGTCTCTGTCTTGAGAGATCTGAAATATCAATAGGAGCACTCAAGAACACCAGCATAATCTTTGCAAGACAGCGCAGGATAAAGCAAAAAGAAAACCATATTATCTGATGTCCTTATCCCAAATTTGAAAGAAAAGGGGTAGACACTGGTGGAGTTCACAAAATTATAAAATTAAGTAAGCCTGTCCCTCACAGAGAGACTGGCACTCCCTTTTGGAAAAATGAAACTTAGCCACAATACAAGTTTGCATTTAGGACCTTCATAGAATAACTGCAGAAATTTATGGTGGGAGTAGTTCAGAGAACCCTTATCTCTCCTCAAGTTACAACCCCACTAATAAACAACTTGTCAACCTGCATCAGGAGGGCTTTACCCACGAATTAACACCTGAGCTGTTTGCCATCAGCCAGCCCCAGCTGCTCGCAGATGGAGGCAAGCTGCTTTATCCCTTCATTCTCCTAGGATTTTAGATATTATGGCTGAGGCAAAGTTATCACGTTTTAATTGCCATACAGTACCAGGTAAGTAACAAGGATTTATACCTAGCTCCCCTTTTTAACTATTGGTGCTTGGGTTTTGGTTTTTTTAACATTTGTAGAAGTTTCTCAGAGTCAGGGTTAAGATAAATGCACTGGTCTCTGGAATTCCTGTGTTATGCACTGTTTGCACTGTGGTTCTCTCTTGACAGAGAGGTCATCATGGCATCTTCCTGCTGACAGCATCCTGCATGTCACCTCTGGCAAGGTTTTGGCTGAGGCTGCTGGACAAAAACCAACACACAAAACCATTATTCCAAAGTTTGGTTGTTTTTTGGGTTTTTTGGTTTTTTGGGGGTTTTTTTTGTTTTGGTTTGGTTTGGTTTGGTTTGGTTTGGTTTGGTTTTTTTTAAAGAAGATCTGAATCCCATTAATAAAATTATGGCTTTCAAAAAAAAATTAAAAAGGAGGAGACTTTCTCCTGTAGTCAAGAACCTTCCTTAATGAGATCCAGACAGATTTACATTTTCTAAAAGCGCAAGACTTTGGGTTTTTTCCATTTAAATCATCAACTCCTGTATAAATTACATTTGTAAGACCCACTGGCTCCAATCAAAGGGTATTTAAGAGTCTGTCTGGCTGAGTTAAGAAAGGACCAGGTAAGAGGAAGTGGAAAAAAAGGCAAGCTAGAGCATGTACATTAGTAAGATGACTAATATTACTACAAATCTGATTTGCCATTTCTTTGGTTTCTTTCATGGAGATTTAAAGATAATTGTAGCAAACATTCAGGAAGAAAAACTAAAAGAGAGTCAAATCCTGCAAAGAGAAGTCATATTTACAAATGCTCAATATTTCTTCTGGCTTATTGTATATGATTTATGAGGTGCTTTTCAATATTAAAGTTCTTCATTAGTTCATTGGATACACAGTCAAGATTAGTAATGAACTAATTGTCATAGAAAAGAATTTATGGCTTACAGTCTCCAAAAAATCAGTAGTTTGGCTTCTGTGGGTAAAAATGAGGTAACGTAACAAAGTCCTGACTATGAGGAAATAGTTTTTAAAATCACAGACAAATAAGATTAATGCTACATCCCATGCTGTGCTGAAAGGGATGTCTTGCATGGTTAAAAAATATATTTAAAACACATCTAATTTCCTTGGGTTTTCCTGGTTTACCTTTTTCTTTTTTTTACATAAATGTTTCCCGTTCCAATAATATAACTTTTTCCTTGTCACATAGCTTGAATTTTCCTCAGCTTCAGTTATGAAAATAAATTAGTTGAATTATCTTTTCTAAAAGCCAACTTCTCATTGAGATTTCCACTCAGCTAGCAGTAACACTAAACTCAGGGCTGGAAATCAGGACATTGAAGACAATATTGTATAGGTTTTTTTTCTTTTAATTGATGGAAATATTTCCAGTGCTTTTGTTTCTCAAAATCTTGGTAAATTTTGTCCTTGAATTGATCTGGAAAATTGTTTCAAAATGAACTTGTAAGAAAACAGGAGCTCTTTCAGGGCAATGTTTCATTTCAATACATGTTCACATAATTTTGCTCGTTTGGACAAATATGGTCATTTAAGGCAGTTAATAACAGATCTGTAGGCAAGGCAGATGGATCTGTGTAAAGCAAGAACTCCCCTCACTGGTAGCTGCACCTCTCCTTCAGCTTTTGAAAAACTTTTACAACAAGTTTCAGCTCAAAATCCAAATCCAAAGCAAATACCAAAAGGCTTAATTAATCTCTTTGGCTTGTTTTGCATGTGTGTTCTGTTTAAGCTGGTTGTTTTCCATCTGGTCACAAATACCAGGGCCTTTTTAAAGTTGTGAACATTGGGAAATCTGCAGAAATTAAAACTATATATCCAATTTTAATTTTTCATATTTTTTTATCTCTAATTCCAGGCCCAGAAGGTTTAAATAGCCTCATGAAAGCATGAGGGCTCCAGCTTTTCTCTGTGATTCACCCAGTTTGGACATCAGAGAGCACCGAAGTCAAGAGGTTCAGACAGAAAATACTAATGGATAAACTGTTATAAATAAGACTTCACAGTGACATATTAGAGAATCATATGTTGTAAACTGAAAAGAGTAGGATTGGATTCAGCACATGGCAGAAAAATGCATGCTTATGTGAAGAGAAGCTCCAAAGCTCTTCAGGTTAGTTTTGCTTTATCTGTACATGCCAAGAAACACCAGGCCAGGCAATCTACACTTACTAATTTTCACCCTATTAAAGAAAAGAGAAGGAGAGGGAAAAGGGCAGTACAGTTTTCTCTGGCAGCCTATAGCACTGTAGGAAACATTTTTATACAGAAGTAAGCTGCTATTCATGAATAACGGTTTCAATTTGAACAGAAGGAGCTACTTGGGTAACTTCCTGCTAGAGCTTTCCTGTTCCATCTGGGACATGAAGCAGTTGTGCTGTGCCATAACCAGGCTGCAGCCAGGGTGACACTGGCTCTCAAACACACTCCTCTTCTGCTTGCTTCCAGAGCAGTTCTGCCTAATGTCACCAGCTTTTTGTAATCAGAGCCATCTTTTTGGGTTACCTAAAGGTGAATTTCATCCCCAAAGCCCCACACTGATGTCCTCTGTACCTCCACAGCTGTGATGCCACCAGCTCCACCTCAGGGCAGTGACTACCAATACAACGAGCAGGCAATTCCTACACCCCCACAAAGTGACCAGGTGAACCAAAAAGGCCTCTTGACTATTTTAACTTATGGCAAATTCAGATACTCTGACCCTCTCTCATGTTCACAACACCTACCTACTTCCCCATAACTGTCACAACCTCTTTAGCATTTGGAGAAAATGAAACTAAATTCAACATGCCAACATCAAATACTCAAAAGACAACTTTTAATTTAATTACTGTAGACATAGAAAAAGGAGTCCTTTAAGGAAGTCTGTCAACTAAGAGCTATATATAATTTTTAGGGAGTGAGTAATCCTTAGTGATTTTCCTAAACAGATTTCCTTCAAAATACACTTGTTTGCTGCACAGGGTAGAATTACTATAAAATCAATGAGTTATTTTTCAAAAGTGTGATTTGACATGTGATGATACCAGAGCAGATAGTAAATACACATCTCTTAGTTTGTCATATTGATCTGAGAAACATGACTGGGCATTGAGAGCCCATTTTTGTATCTACTGAGAAAAGGGCCAGGACGAAGTGTTAACTGCTGGAGTTAAAGCTCTTTCAATGATTTCAGTAAGCATTTTTCCAGATCCAAAACCTTTCTATTAAGTTCAGTGCTCTTTCAGTCAGGGCTGTGATATCCATTGAAGCCAAAGAACAGCAAAGCTTGTCTGATCTTTTTGAGACTCTGGTTTCAGTTAAATAACCCAGTGGGCCCTTCTCTGAATTAGTATTGCAGAATATGTGCCAGCAGAGAGGGGACTGCTTAGCTGAGAGTTATCTGAGAGTGCTCCAGAGCAAGGAACCCAGCAGACCATGCAAGCTGCTACTTTTGAGCCCCTACTTTTGAGCTATTACAAAGTAAAGCAACTTTCCAATCTTTCATTTCTTTCCAGACTTGGATCAATTTATTTCTTCCTAGATTTAAATTCCCATGATTTATTTCTGAGTTTCTATATTAAAATGAACAAAACCTTACCTGATTTAATGCTTAATTTTTTAAAGACAGGCATTACTTTTATTGAATGACAACTACAATCTGCACTTTTGTGAGCATTAGCAGAGGACCTGGAAAGAGACATTCAGAAGCATGAATTCAGAGGTGATAATGTAACATTAACTGAGGAAAAGGACCCACATAGACTCTGTGTTAAGGTAAACCATAAAAAGAAGGAGCAGAAGAGGAAAAGTAGTTAAGTGAATGGTATGTTACACATAATCTAAAGCACATTTATCTTTCCTTCAGCACACACAAAACTTTTGCTAGTTTCTTTTTACAGTTACTGAATACTCACATTATCTGAAGTTAAAATTTCCTGTACAGGGCTTTAAAACCTTACTAAGATCTTAAAAATAGGCTTAATAATAAAAATATTTAATAATTTGCAACCTACACCAACTCTTACACTCCTACTACATTCATCACATTTTCTGCCACAAAGAATATCATGAATGTATGTCATCCACAGAAATACATTTGATGTACTTATACCAGAATAATAGTGCTTAATTACCTTCTTACTACTTCGGCTCTATTTCCCATACCTGGGTATGTTTGCTCAGCAAGTCAGCCTCTGAAACACGAATAAATGTACTCATTTCTACAGCTGTGAGATTTCTGAAATACAGAAAATTTCAATAGCTCCTTCATTCAATCACGTACTTAAAAAAAAAAAAAAAAAAATCTCAGGATTAAAGAAATCCAGGGAAAGAGAAAAGATTAACCTAGAAAAGGCAGACCAGCAAGTAAATAAATCTGAGCTTCATTGTCACTTCTCACTTCAAAAGAGGATTCCTACAAGGGCCTGGCCACGGTGCTTGAGCTGTCACAGGTGGGACAGGGGTCAGCAAGGGTCTCCAGTGTGCACAGCAGCCGCTGTGACATTAGTCAGGGCCACGGTGCAGTGGTTCCAAGGAGGAGGAATGGGCAGTCTGGCCCAGAACCGCATTTTTCTCTCCGCTTTCTTGCAGTTGCCACACGGAGCGCAGGAGTCAGAGCTGCCATGGCACCGTAATGGAAATAAACGAGCCCGCAGAGCCGGCAGCGGGAGGTGGGAGCGGGAAGCATCCTCATCCCGGCCGCAGCGGCCGCGTAAATCTGTCCCTGTCAGGAGAGCTCCGGGCGGCGCTCGGCACCCGCCGCTCCCCGGGAGTCAGGGAGAGTTCAGGTGCTTACTGTGTCATCGGGCCTGACCTTCAGAGGCGACATGGCCAGCACGTTTGTTTTCCCACAGCAGTGATTGCTTCAGTCAATTATTATTGCCCATCCTGCAGTGCAAACACATAAGGACTTGATTTACAGTGCAAAATATACATCCTGAATTTACTTCCTCTTTTATTTTTGGTCTGCCATAGCATCTCCAGCTTAAAGGGATGACAGCAAATTACTTCATAGGTAAATATATCTACATATGAGGAAGGATAAATATCAGTCATTCAGGGCATCCTGAGATGAACGCTCCATTATAGCGCTGGATGTGTTGCATCACATGTGATAATATATTTAAAGGGTTTTGCATTTTGTTTTAAAAGTGCTCTTTTTTTTCTGCTCCTACCTGAAAAAAATCATTAGCAAATTTGTTGATTTGGCAATCTAACCATTAAATCCAGTTTAGCTCAGATTTAAGATTGTACATTCAGTTCTTTAAGCAATGTTTAGGTATTACCAATATACTGAAAGATAGATGAGACAGCCTCATGGTAATACAGCTTTTAACCTTTCCTCTCCTCTACCATGACGGGGGAGAATTACAGTAAATGATGGTTACCTTGTCTGCAGTATGGACAATTGATTTGACCTCACTGCATCTGATGCTCTAATGGACTTCGTGGCTGAATCCCTGGAGATATAAAATATGTCCAAGTGAATTGGGGCAGGTTAAAGAACGGACCTGCTTTTCATGGCTGGCTCAAGCTGTAATAGATCTCTGGTTGTTCTGAGAAGAAGATTAAAAATGATCAATATCCAAATCATTAAAAGAAAAGTGGTGGCTTCTGTAAATCTACCTTAGCTATATTTTTTTCCCTGCTGAATGCTGTGGGGGGAGTCTTTGTTGGTGACATGAGTTTCTATAACAAATGTTTGCTTCTGTTCACTTTCTTGTAGTGCGGTCCCTGTTATATTAAGAATCAGACACTCAGGTGGCCTGAATTGGCATTGCTTTCCCAAAAGTCATGCTTGTTTACACCATGAGGAATCTGGTCTTATGTTTAGTTAATATAGATAAAATGCCAATAGTATTATATTACTTGGACCAGCAAATAAAGCCAAGGACAGATTTCAGAGAATGATGGCAACTATGATAAGTCAATGTCTTTACAGGTCTGCTAGCCACAAATAAAAGGCCAAGAATAAAGGTCTCATTTAGGGAGAGGAAAACAAAAAGATTTGCCTTGGCTGCCCTGAGCCCTTCATTTGCAAAGTGTAATTCAACATCTTGTTCATCCCTGGCTACCCTCTCTCTTAAAAAGTATGTTTGTGCTCTTTTCCCAGCAGCCTTACGAGAGCTTGTAATATCCCCCAACACAGAGACCTTCCTCTCTGCTCACAATGTGCCAGGCTTCAGTGAAGGAAGTGATGGTGTATATGATCCCACTTCAGTGGGATTATATACACCTACATTTCCTTCACTTCCTGGAAAAGCCAAGCCTTAAGAAGACAGCTGTATAACTGTTCCATAGCTGGCACACATACACTAGATAATTATTTACTACACTTGGAATTCAAGAGAGCACCAATCTTTAAACAGCAAAGTCTGACACTGTTGGGATCTGATATTTCTATTTTTGAATTACAGATATAAGAGGTAATCCCAAAGTCTCTTATTTGAAGATGCAGTCTATTTTCCTAATTTTGAGAAATTTAAGGTTGGAATTGGACTGACCTAGCTAGCTCTGTACCATTAAATGTAAGAAATATTCTATTATGAAGAAATAGGTTTCAACAAATTGAAAATTAAGTTTCACTTTTTAATCCAGTTGCTTAACAATGCTTACCTTTTGTTTTTCACACATTGTTTAAAAATATGGATGTGTAACGCCAGCCTCTGTAAGGAATGTTTGTTTATCTACATGTATTGTCCTGCATGAAGAAAAGCAAAGGCACTTTACAAGCTCTTTGCTTCTTTCTGGGGTTGTCAGTGCCCTGTGGCCTGGGCTGAGCTGAATGCCTCACATCCACAAGGAGAAGAGGGAACAACTGCTGACCCTTACATCCAGCTATTCTTGTAGCTGGAAACATTGTCAGGGGCTGCAAGCATCAAGCTGTCTGAAAGGCCAAAGTTGAGCACTACATTATTGGAGTAGATGACATTTTATTCTTATTCTGCAACAATTCTAACAACTTCTAGTCCCTTGCTGTCCCTTTATGAACACAGGTGTCATTTTGATGGGGGGATAGCCAAAATGACAAGAAGGTGACCTGTCAGTGAACTCTGGAGCAGGTGAGGCCTGTCAGCTTCTAATTTGAAACTGGTGTCAGTCCTGAGGAATGGCTGGTATAATCACATTTGCAACTGATCCCCTATAAACTCTGCAAACATTCACAGTGTGCCTGTTATGAGTAATATGAAATTAACAATTCATGTTTATGACACCAGACACCAAGAGAATCAAGGAGATTTCAGTAACAGGATCAGCTCTGTGGTTCTTGCAGAGCACAACACCAAACTGCCCCAGTCACAGCCAGATGACTCTGTGCTTATGTTACAATAGGCATTGTCTTTACTTTGAAGACAAACTTTTGTAACTAGGTGTAAAGTGAGGACCTAAGAACTAACATGTAGTTGAAATTATTCCTTTTAAAATTTCTCTCAAGTTCAGCCCCTAAGATGTTTATGATTTTTAAGCTGAAGTGTGGAACCTGACAAATCACGTACACACTTGAATCTCAAATTTTCTGTATAACCAGAGGGAAGGCTGTGTGTAAATCTTATCTCTCAAACACATAAATTACCAGCTGCATGAATACTGCCATTAAGACATGCAGACAAGTGTAAGGGGTGGGGATAGGCAGGATGCCCGAAAGAGGTGGAGTCACGGAGAAAACAAGACATTTGTTCACTGAGTAATTTGTCCTTAATCTGTCTTCACTGTAGCTGAGCAAGAATGAACACCACAAGTTAGGCTGTCAGACTCCCTCACTTCCCTGGCATCAGGACATTTTTTTTCTGCAAACTAGACCTTTTCTTCTTTGTTACATTACCTGTAACATTAACTTTGTTACATTATCTTCTTTGTTACATTATCTGTAATTTTTTTTACCAGGAAAAGTAAAAATTACAGTATGTGAGGTTAGATTTGAATTAAAATCAAATTCAAGTATAAACTTGAGCCCCAACCAAATTAACAAAAGATAGGTACATCTGCAAGTAGTCCTTTTGGGGACAATGATAGCCCCAAACCCAAGAGGAAGACTAGGGTGCAAACTCACATTTATTTTGAGTGCATGAGAAAATATAGGAGTATTTTGTATTGCTGCTACCTGAAGCTCAAGAGCTCGTCCTGTGCAGTTTTAAAATGCACTAGAAATAGCTGATAATACTTTGAATCTTGAAAACTTACCAGCCATTCTCCACCACCCAAAATCTCACCTCAGAGCTTCAGCCTTGGATCCTGAGGCTGGGACTACAAGCTGTGCACGTTGCCATTGAGGCGGTCACTTCTGGACACATAATAAAACAGCTCACTTTAAATCTGATGTACAGCACAATTTTTTGGGTGTCTGGATAGGGCACATAAAACCTTGATTAAAATGCCATCCATTCAGACCTTTTCTGGAACCCAGTGAAATATGTTTTTGTTTTCCTCCTACTTAAATGGTTATAATTCAACATGTGGTTTAAATAGAGGAAATTAGGACAGTTTGGGCTCTTTGGTGTTTAGGGATTTTTTAAAACCAGTCAGAATTTCTGTACACTAACTTCAGAGAGTCCTCCACAGTGACCAGAAAACCAAGTGGGGAGAGGGAAGAAAAAAAAAAAAAAAACCAAAAACAAAACCAAAAAAACCCACCACCTAGGTTCCTTTCTGAAAGGAAAAGTAAAAAGTAGAAGAACAGGACAAAATCCTTTGCTGAGCTGTTCAGAGTAGACCCTGATCTTGAGCCTATTCCCCACACACAGAAAGGACCTACAGAGCACATCTGTTTTCATGACATAGCTGATGGTATTTTGAGCACTCGGGTCCTGCACTTTCCCCTGACCTCACAGCACTACTTTCTGTTAACACAATTACTTTCAGGCCATCCTTGGTTCCCACCAGCTTCAGTTTTGAAATTAAACAAAATTAGTCATTTCAATGCACAGGAATGCAAGCATTTAAAATGCAAGCATTTAAAAGCAGGCAAGATGAAGGTAGGGGAAAATGAGATTATAAATAGATAGCCCCACTTTTAAGTCTATTCATCTGTGTTACATTGGGGTAGAAAGAAACAAGGAAGGCTGCATCAAAAAAAAAAAAAAAAAAACAGTTGAGGCCTTTGAGTTTGCCTCTATGTCATGCTGAACAAAGAGTAGCATCAACCCTTGGCTTGTTGCATGGGAGATATCTGTGCACAGCTCAATCCTGCGTCTGGCTTGGATGTGTGACTGGTCCTATCTCACCCAGCTGTTCTGAATGATGGCCTAGGATGTTTTCTCCTTGATCCACTGAACTTAGCTCTACAAAATTAGCTCTACAAAATGGATTGACAGAGTATACGCAGACCACAGCCCAAAGACTTAGAAACTATTCTGCAAAGTAGATCCAAACCGTTGCCCTGCTTGATTCCCTCTCAGGCTCAGTGACTGTTATTTCACAACTCACTGCACTTTGCTGGTTACAGGGCACCCACACAGAAATGCCCTGGTCATGGAAGATCTCCTTTTTTCCTATACACAGAAAGACCACCACATCTGAGAAACTTTCCCCTCAAAATCAATCCATTTAAAAGGTAAGTTTAAGTTTTTGTGGCTCAGTGTTTTCTTTAAAAAAAAGAAAAAGCATGTTTCAGTCAAAAACCTGTAATCAACTCGACCTGAAATAGCAAGGTTTCTCCTGCCTTTGGCGGTGTGGCAACACATGTGCAGCCCCAGGGAATGCATCAGCATCAACGCAGTGACCCAGTGAAAATCCTGGAAGCAGGCAGACAGTATGAAAGTCATGCATTAAGGAATGTTTGTGTATACTGCTGAGGCAAATTACAGAATTCCCCAGAAATATTTGCAACATGATGACCTAGGAAAGCCATGTGGGAATTGTACCTTGTACAGGGGGTTATGCCAGTAATAGAACTAGTGGCTGTATCTCACCCCCTGGAGCTCTTCTTACTTCTTACATCCCCAGGAGCTGCAGAGCCAGATGCCCTTGGCACCCAGCCTTTCCCATTTCCTCTGGGTGGCAAAAGTCTGCAGAATGATGACACAGATTTACTCAAAGGAGGCAGTGTGGAAGCAGATCTCAATGCATGTGACAGAGCTGGAGGCATCTCACTGTAATTAATCAGTAGTAAAACAAGTAGTTATTTATGTTGCACATCTAATGAACAAGAATTAGTCATGGTTCTGATTCTTGGGCAGCTATTTGTGCACCTTATCTAATATTTAAAAGGAAACTGCACTGAATGTTTTCTAATTCAAAGAGGCTGGGCAAAATAAGAACTGACTTCTACCTTTGACTAAACATTAGGAAACCGGTTTCCATGTTCAGAAGTATCTGGATGTATTTTTCCATATTCTTTCTTTCTTTGAGTTTTCCTGACTACAGCCAGGAAGTGAAATGCCAGAAATACCCAGAGGCACCCTACCAAACCAGACAGC